ATAATAACGTAGTTACTGTAACGCGTTACTTAATAACGCGTTAGTCCCAACACTGCTCATTAGTGCAACAACTGGTAGTTTCTTTTTGGCAGCAGAAAAAGTGTTTGTTTGACAATGGAAAAGTCAGTGAAGATCTAAGAAGAAGAATTGTAGGTTTACACAAGTTAGGAAGGTCTCTTGGAGCCATCTTTAAACACGGTCTGGAAGAAGACCCAAACTGCCCCCCTCAAATGAAAGGAAATTGGTTAGGATGTTCAGGATCAACACAGGTACTACTTCACTAATGGACTGAGAGAGTGCCAACCAAAAAAGAAGCCCCTGCTCCAAAATGAACACCTTCAAGTTCGAAATGCAATCTTGGGAAAAGCTTTATGGTCAGACTAGAAAACAACTGAGCTTTTTGGCCACAGGTTTGGAGACGTAAAGGTAAAAACACTGTGCCAACTATCAAGCATGGTGGTGGTAGTATCATGCTCTGGAGATGTTTTACTACCAGTTGTACTGGTACACAAAGTGGATGCAGTAATGAAAAGGAAAGACTACCTTCAAACTCTAGACTTCACCACAACAACACTGGCTTGGGAATACATAAAGGAGGCTAACATTAAGCTTCTGGAACAGCTTTCCCAAAGCCCTAACCTCAACCCTACTGAAAATTAGTGCTAAAAACTCAGGTCCATGCCATAAAAACCAATTTAAATGAACTCTATTAATTCTGCCAGAAATAATGCTCAATCATCTGACCAGTGGATATTGAAGCATCTAGTTGCGGTGCAGCTTGCTAAGGAACATTTAACTAAATATTAGTGGAGGTGTATGTATATATTTGAACCTCTGTGTATACTTTTGATCCTCTTCGGATTAGAGAAAAATCCAAAACATATTCAAACTTGTGCATTCAATTCTTGTTCTTTAAAGTAATTAAAGTCGCATGCTATTCAGTAATTCTATCCTGGAAAAAGAACAATTGAAATAAACCACAAAAAGCCCCAAACTGTGAAATTCATGCTAAAGTTAGCAGGGACTTAACATACTTGGCTTATGATTGTTATGACTTACTGTTGAGGTGATGCTGTGGCCATCACTAGTCATCTGCATTGAGATTAGCAAAGGAGAGTCCTCATCACCCCATGCTACAGCCCTGTTGAAACACACACACACACAACCATGATGTAATGTTACTGGCTCCTAAAGTAAGTCTGCATTTTTCTGAAAATAGTAGTTGACCTTCTTGAATCTGAACTGACTGGATTTCACATTCTTGTTTGTCCATCTTGTGGCACCCATTAAGGAGCCAAAAATGTGGTACTTGTACCTCAAATAAGTAATTAGATCACAGCTTGAAAACGTGCGATATTTATAGGGCAAACAGTCTGCAGCGGGCAGGCAGCAGCTGTTGCTGCCAGATTAAATCAGCATGTTAGTTTATCTTGGTAATGAAATAATAATATCATACATGAGTGAGTACCACAAGGGGAAATTCTCCTTTCTTACTTCCTTTTCATGAATGTCAAAAGTCGGATTCCATCTACTGATGGACTGCCGGGACTGGTAAAGATCAAAACCTTTGTTTCTCCCATTGAAAGAAATGCTGTTTACGTTTGCTGCTCTTAATTATGCCAATGAAGAAAGCAATCCTAGTGAGACCACTTTAAAAGTCAAAGAATTATCAAGGTTTAGCGTTATCGAGCATGAATCTTGGATGTTTTTTGAACATCTGAGTCAGAAATTGCTCTTCACTTGCTATTAGATAGTGAATTTGCCATTTTCTCGTGTTTTGCATACGTATGGTTCTTACTCCTTTTCCTTATATAGCGCACTTAATGCAACCCAAAGTTCTGTAGCAGTAGTAGTGCAAATAAGTAGTAAATCTGCAGTGTACCATGAGGGCCGCACTATCCCTATCCGAGCACTGTATACAATCATGCTTGGCACTGGAAGAGAAATAACAGATGGATGAGAGAAAAGAGTGCATAAACAGCCATAAAAGTATTCATTTTGGGAAAAAAACATCTGTTCACTTTAAACACTTTGATAAAAGGCTAAATGAATTGTGCTTTTAACAAACCCTGAACTCTCTAAAGAAGAAGCAAGAAGGACTGAATGAGAGAATGATTTCAGAAAAAAATCAGTGTAGTCATAGTTACATCTTTCATGTTACTGCATCTGTGATAGATTGGCAAACTCTCCAGTGTGTATGACAGATATAGGATGGGATAGACTCGCGCACAACCACAACCCTGAACCCCAGATAAGGTGAAGAGGATGGATGGATGGATAGATGGATGGATGGATGGATGGATGGATGGATGGATGGATGCATGGATGGCTACATGCATTCTGGACAACAAATATCAACTTTATGGCCATGGAAAAATTCTGGGGATGGCCAATTTATTTTTGGGCTCAGTGTCTGCAATCCCAACAAAACTCAGTATCAACTCCCTACTGCTGGTGAGAAATATACCACTTTTACATCAAAGAAAATTGTGATTTGCCTTAAAAAAAAACTAACAAGTTCTACAAGGTCTGGGGTCTGTATCCAGTGCTGTATCATTATTTTAGATTTTAGTTTCTTTCTCTGTCACATTTCTTTTTGTTTTCAGTCACTGTTTTGTGTTACTATTCAGAACGGCTTGGTTAAGTTTAGGAAATGATGCTTCTGCAACATGAAGCGCATGTTAGAGTTCCATTTTACGTTTGGCTAGGATACCAGAATCACAAGCCCTGGGTTAAAAATATAGTAAAGAAAGAGGAGGAATCTCTGAGTCTCACAGCTGTTACTTAAAACTAATACACCGTGGAGCATAGCTACAGCTAAATGTGATACATTAGACATTTTTTTCTTGTGACTGGATTCTCATTGAAATCTTTTT